TTTCTGCTGCAATTTAAAAACTCATACTTCAAGAAAAGTGAACCCAGAAAGGAAGTCTACACTGATAAGAGTTGATATTTTCCATATGTGCCAAATGTATATTTTTAAAAACACAATGACGTACAGATTGATTCATATAGGGTTAAGAAGCCCTTTTACCCAACTTCCTCATTCTCTAACTACCAAAAAAATATATATACATTCAACAAGAAACCAACCAAAAATGAAGTAAGATGGATTAGTGTGTGGAATAGGGACAAAACTTTGTATAAAAACCACATGCTAATAAAATATTTATTACAAGTACTGCTAATAATATGTTAAGCTACATTATGACCCCCCAAAGTCCATCATTCAAAAAACTCAAACTCACTTCTGTTTTTTCTTCCTTTTTCACTTTTTCTAGTTTCCTCAAGTGTAATCTCTAATATTACAAGTGATTTATGGCATGTTCTATCTTTGTACACCTCCTTCCTACAGTTCCAAGATGACAGCACCTTTGGGATAATTTATTATAGGCCATTTCTTGTCCTGGATACCCAAAACATAGGTGTTCATGTCACATACACTTGTGCTCTCAAAAATAGTACGCAGCTGTTTTTTACACCATCCTCCAAATATTTTTGACATTTATTGTACTCACCTAGCACTAATTTACTTGTTTGTATTAGATCTCAAAAAGTATTTGTTAGCTTAGTGCCAGATGCCAAAATAATTGCTAGGATTAAATTATTTTAAGCAAACAACAACCACTGAGGGTGGGAAGAGGGAATAACATTTAAAGCAACCTGTTTACAGACATCTCTAGTGGAACCTGAGAAACAAGCTATTTTATATCTGTACACACACACACACACACGCACGCACGCACGCACGCACGCACACACACACACACACACACACGTATGTTAACTTGAGTAACTACATCTGGGTTCTTACCAGGTATCATGACACACATCATTCTATCCTGCAAAGAAAGTCTTTTCAGCTCATATACTATGTGGATGCCATCTGAAACCAGCATTTTTTTTTGTAGATGTAAAATTGAACACATGATGTGAAAGTACTGTAAAGTTACACACATGCCATTTGGAGAGACTCCAAAGGCACAAAGTTCAGCTGGTTCCATTTCCCTAATTAGACACACAATTAATTAACACCAAAACACATTTTATTACCACCTTTTGTTTCATTTTATAAGGGAAAATAAGACATAACATAGTTGAATGTATAGTTTTAGGGGTTTTTTTTCCACATGACTCAAGGCCATGCTTTTGCTTTGAATAAAACATCAAGATGCTGAATGAATCTGCTGTGGCTTTTAAATTCTCTCTGCATAGTCTGGCCTATTGGGAGTTATGACTTTATGTAGACTTGAAAGTAAACTTGGTGCTTCAGCTCTCCAGACCAATGGAAATGAGAGGCATTCACAAGTAGCAATTGGCCAAAACAGAAAAAGTAAACCCAGAGGTAAGGAGAGGAATAAGTGGATCCTTAACTGCTACATCCTTAACTTTCTTCCACAACCCTACCCTGCTCCCTCAGTCCTTAAACCAGTGGTTCTCAACTTTAGACTTGAGGCATTCCACTGCTCGGTAACTTTCATGAATTGAGCCACCATCTCAAAAACTAATATATTTATTACAGTGCCTACACCTCCTTGCAGAGGGGGCTGGCAGTGGGGGCAATACAATGGCTATGCAGGGATAAACCTGAGCCTGTACTGGTTCTCTCATACCTGCTTATCTCCTTACACACCTTGCATCAGCACCCTGGCTGAGAATCCCTGTCTTAAATAAAAACACAGAAACAGAACAAAAAAATACCACCATCCAAACAACACACTCCCCTGACACAAATTCAAAATGCTGAATTAATCTGGCAGTCTCTGGTTAGCCCATGGATGGAATGGGAATGGATACTCAACTACCCTGGTGTCCCAGCCCCTTTAGGATAATGCTGAGGCAGAAAAACAGAATGATACCAAGAACATTTCAGTCTTTCTACTTCCCACTTCTCTAGAGCTGCATACCATATACACCTCCTGTAATGGTGAAATACCAGTTCCTGCTGCTGAACAAAAGAGTTTAGTCTTTAGAGCTAACTTACTTTCCACTGTTCAAGCATCCTCTTTCTTATTTTGCTAAATGTGCTGACTGTCCCAAGTCAGAGGTGCCATCTCCAACACCTCTGCAAATCAGTCTGGTTAATCTGACACACTGTTCAAGTAGCAGCAGCATCTAGAGGTGCACCAATACATCAGTCCAATATTGGATCAGTACTGATATAAAGAAAATTGGCTGTATTGGAAATTGGCCCAATGCAGCCAATAATTTGGCCAATAAATGCTTGTGTGTGTACACAGCTGCAGCGCAGCACATAGGCAGTGAGGAGCACAGCCTGGCAGCGTGGAGAGTTGCATGCAGCTGGTAAGTCTGTTGTGGTGGAAGGGGAGGGGGGAAGGAAAGGGTGTGTGTGTGTGTGGGGGGGCAGATCAATGGCCCCCCCACGGAGAGGGAGGGAGGGGGCAGGGGCTGGCGCTGCCCAGTTGGGGTGGGGCAGGGCATGGGACTGAGCTGCAGCTCGTCAGACAGGGCAGCTCCTGCTGCTACTTGCACCCCAGTGGTGGAGTGGGAGGGCTGCAGCTGTGGGCTGGAGCTGGGCTCTTCTCAGCAGGGGCTGGGCTTGGGGCAGGTGGCAGTGGTGCTTGGGGTTTGGCTACGGAGGGGGCTGCAGCCACCCCATATTTTGCTGTATCCTCCCCAAAGTCCCTTTCCCAGTGCTGCCACCACCCACCTGGCTCAACGTTCTGCCTCCACCCATGCGCTGGAAAGAGCCAGCAGCGCTAGGAGTTGGGGACATGGGGAAGTAAAATCCAAGGTGGCTGCAAGCCCCTCCATAGCACCCCTCCCAGCGCTGCTGCCACCCAAGCTGAGCCAAGCCCCCGCCAAGAAGAGTCCAATGCAGCCCCAGCTCCAGCCTGCCTGCCCCACTCCGTGCAGATCTGGGGGCACCTCCCACCACAGTGCCCTCTCAGGGTGTAAGCAGTGGCAGAAGCCGCTCCCCCCACAATGAGACGTCACTCAGGCCCATGCCCTGCCCCACCCTGGCTGGGCAGCACCTGCCAGTGTCCATCCCTCACTGCAGGGGGTGTTGATCCATCTCCTCACGTCCTTCTCCTTCCACCGTAACAGGCTTACCAGCTGCACGCAGCTGTATTGGAAATCGGATTGGTATTGGCCAATATGCCTTCTTAAAAATCGGCTATTGGTATCGGCCCCCAAAATCTCTATCAGTGCACCCCCAGAACCATCCTATCATCATCCTAAAGGGCTGCAGTCCCCACACTCGGCATAACAGGAATGAAACAGAAGCCTGAACTCTGCATTACCCTGCTTTAATTGGCCTAAGTCTTACCTTTTACATAAGTTTATCATTTTTTTTGGTGGTTCATAATATTTGTATTTGTTAAGTGGTGGGGTGCTAAGGTGATGTAAAGGCATGATTCGTTCCATATGTACTATGATCATCCTGCAAGTGAAACACAGCACTACAAGACATGGTTGCAAAGGAGGTTGAGAGAACTCAATCCCATTTTGTTCTTCCACGGGGACAAGGAGTGTTCACCCACTGTCAATACTTTCTACCCATTTACTAAAAAAATACTGATACCACAAGAATGTTAATTAAATAGCAAAAATTGAACACAGTAACAATGGGGCTTAAATATGGGATTCATCAAGTCCTAACATGCTGTGTGTGTGTGTAATGTGGAAACTGATACTCTGATCACTGCATTTTTCTAAAAGGAAACATACTTTTTATGTTATTACATAAAAAACATGAAATTAGATTTTCTATTTCCAGCATTTCTCATTAAATAGCGACACTTTTAAATATATTGATGTTTTATTTTCAAGTCTGTAAAAATATGCCATCAGTGAGTGACACTGAAGAAATGTTGTAGCATTTAAATTCTCATAGGACATCTTAGTACAGTGTCTGTCTGAGTAAATGAAGCATCTACCACTAACAGGAGTTAGGTGTACTACTGTTATTGAAACTAGCAGTGGACTGGAAGGTGGTGTGGGAGAAAGAGAAATGAAACGAGGACAAGTGGAGGCGAGAATTATAACAATATGAGCTTAGCTAAGGGAAAGAGAAGAGGGACAGGGAGTGACAAAGGCACTGGAATGAGAAAAACAAAGGGAGAGATAAATAGGAGAGGCAAAAACTCCAGAGAAACAAGCCAGAACAAATTCCCCGGCCAATCAAGAACAGGGCCACTTTCCTGATGTAGATTAGAAATGAAGCATCAAGCACTCTGAATACAGCCAAGTCATTACAGGCAGAACTGGCAGTGTCACCTATAGCTTTGACTGCCTGACATGTCTTATTAGGAACAGAACTGGAAAGGACCTTTTGAACCATCAAGTTCTGCTGCCTGCTATCACAAACAGTCACATCACATAATCTTTTCATAAACTGACCAAATTCCATTTTTAAAGCAGTTCACTTTTTAGCCCTGCTACTCTTATTAAAGGACTATTCCATATCTTCACTGCTCAGATGGTTAGAAATCTTCCTCTAATACCTAGCCATCATCAATTTATACCCATACGCTTGTCTGCCAGCACTGCCCTTTAATTTGAAATAGCTCTTTGCCCTCCCCAGTGCTTAGCCTAATGATGCAATTATACAGTGCTATCATATCATACTCTGCCAAGCTCTTCTAAATCCTTTCTTGTAGGATAAGCTCATCATTCCCCTGATTGACTTAAGATGATCTTTCTCTCCACCTGATCCATATGAACCTATCTTTCTTGAACATGAGTGACTAATCAGATAACAGAGTAATAGGTCTATCTTTAATTTTTGTCATTTTATTAAACCTAACAAGCACCTGCTTTTAAATGTTTGCTATACAGTCTTGTTGTATTAACTGCTCTGTTTTGCACCTGAAAATACTGCTGCTATGTTTTTTCTTTAAATCATCTTACCTCCAAGTTATAAAGAAATCTGAAGTTGTTTTTCTGATTCGCAGCTTTTCTCACAGCCTGAGCTAATTCCACTGCTCCTTTACCACCAGCTGACCAATGTTTGCAGGGCAGTGCATCAAATGCTCCAGACTGCTTTGCAATCTCACAGACTAAATCAATCTCAGCATGGGAATCAGTTCTGCCAATGAAACAGTTTTATTTAATCATTTTATTAATTTCTTCCCACCTTATGCACTTCTTTATTTAGCTGCTTTATACAGTTAATTACAAAATGAGC